CTCTGTGCCACGTGCTCCGAGCTCTTTCTGGTCGTTGTTTGGACTCTCCGGACAGCTCCGGGAGGGAGCGCTGTGACTGTGCCCACTTGACGGGCTCACAGCAGAACAGGCGAGACGTGGAGAGGTTAACGCTGTGCGGCCCAGCCCGGAGCATCGGTGCAGTGGAGCCTGGGCTGTGCCTGTGACTTTGTGGTTAAGCCTTGGGGACAGCGCAGCACTGTGTTGATTGGCGCAGGGCGGGCCTTGGTGCTGGTGTGCCTGGAGGGGACAGCCAGAGGACGGACGGCTGAGCCGCCTCTGCCTGCCCCCAGGCGGAGAGCGTCTCCTCTGCTCTGCTCGGGCGGGCTCTCCGGCGCAGAGCTGAGGGTCAGCTCCGCGAAGGCGCCTGGGAAACCAGGGGTGCAGAAGAGACGCGCCCTGTGTGTCTGTGTCTGTTCCAGAGCTTTCCCCGTGCCTCATGCCCATCCTTTGCTTTCAAGGCGGTTCTTGAACCGAAGTTCTGAAGATGACTCGGCCTCGGAGGGCTGCCTGGCCTCGGAAGGCGTGCCCTCCGACCCTGTGACCCTGCGTCGGAGGATGCTGGCCGCGGCCGCGGAGCGGAGACTTCAGAAGCAGCAGACCTCCTAGCGCTTCCTGCCCGCTCAGCCGCCTCCCCGAGCAGCGCCCCCGGGAGGCTGCCTCGCCGCCCGCGGCCTACGCGGGCCTGACTGCATTGCCGCTGTACAAAGCATGTGGTCTTCATAGTGTTTGGACAGCTGACAAATGTAATCCCTTTTGTAACCCTTTCTCTGTGACATTTCTTCTCCCGTTAGAAACACTGCACATGCTAACTCCAGGCGTGATCTCTCCTGGCAGGGCCTGGACTTCTGGGGGTGGGCAAGGCCAGGGGGCAGTGGGCAGCCAGAGGTCTGAGGCCGGCAGCTTTGGGACAGCTTTATGCATAAGTCACACCAGTGCTGGTGTCTCGGCCCCGATCTGGCAGGAAGTGGGGGTGGGGCCGGTTCCTGATGAGTGGGATGTACAGCGGGAGCCCACCCCACCCCACGGGAGGCCCTGTCTCATGCTGTTCTTAGAGGCGTTCAGAGGGGTACAGGGGCTGGAACCGGGCTCTCGGGCCCCGGGGCCGGCAGGGCATCTTGGAAAAATAACTCTTGGTTTGATACCTGGAGCAGCCAGGGGAGCGTGTGAGCGGGTGACCCGTGTGTCCCAGGCCATCCGGGACTTCCTTTCCGAGCCCCAACCAAAGCTGGTTTTATTTCCGTTTATGCTGGTGCTGCTGCATCTCCCGTGCCCACCCTGTGCGTCTGTCGGCCCCTCTGCATGTCGGTGGCCCCAGGGGTGTGTGTGGGGGGGCAGCCCGGAGGGGTTGCGCAGCAGGCTCTGGTTTCTGGTTTGAATTCCTTGGTCAAGTGCTTTAGGCACTGTCAGCGGCTGTGGGTTTGTCCTCGGAGGAAACGTGGGCCTTAGAGACGGAGAGGACATGGGAGGGCTTTGCTAGAGAAATAAAAGCTGCCTTTCTGTCTGCTCTGGAGCCTCATTCTCATTACTGTCCTGTGGGCGAGAACGCGGGAAGGGAAGATGTGGCATCCACCTGCTCGGAGCAGACGCAGGTCCTGGCCATTTGCAAGCTCATCCCACGTCCACTGGAAGGATTTGAAACATGCAGTGATAGGTTACGTAGTTCAGTTTTATGTCCTATCGGATTAAGTTTTTTTTTCTTCTCCTTAATGTTTGAAAACAGTTACAATACCGGCAGTCCTTTGGGGGAGAATCCAGTATTACCTAAAATTATCGGCAAAGTTAAATGTATTTTAAGCGGAAAGTTTGTAGGATGCTGCAGAGTAATTGAAGAAAGAGTGATGAGTCAATGTCTAGGCCAAGATAATTTATTCCAATAAACCTTTCAGAAGCCTTACCTTTGAAATGCTGTTAGTACATTTCTGTGATTTTTTAAAAAACAAAATGTGTTTTGTTTTGCTGAGAGCATAGCTACTTGTTTTTATTGTAAAACAACAATAATAATAAAAAGCAAACTGGATCCTTAGTGTGCTGTGTGCGGCCGGAGCTGAGGCGGGGCCTCCAGCGGAGCTGGTGCTCGGTCCCATGCTGATGGTGTGCCCATGTCTTGGGTGGAGGGCTTCCCATCCTTACGCCTGCGGGTGGCGCTGGTTGAAGGTGGCATTGTGTGTTTCAGATGTGTGAGCGGAGGAGTTGTCTGAAGGCAGTTCGAGGTCTTGAAACAGTGGCCCCTGGCAGTATGACGGTGATGGAAGCCGGGCGTGGGGCCTTACACAGCTTCTGGTTACCCAGGAGAAATTCTAGACTCACCGCTAGATAGCTGAGGATTCTGGGTACCACCCACTCGGCTTTTGTCACTTCTCGGGGGTGTCTGGGATAGATGCCAAGGGCAGTGGCAGGAGCTAGACCAGTCCCCTCGGCTCTCTATCCCATGGCCTCTCCCGGGGAGAGGAGCCTGTGTGCTTTGGAGGTGGTCTATATTACTCCTTCGCTCTCCTTGTAGGGCCCTAATTGTTGAGAAACTGGGTTTGGGCTCCCTCACCCCAAGTTTTGAGGCTTTTATGTGGACGTTTTGTGTTGCTACAAGTTCAAGGTCCCCAGGTGGCCACTGGGCCTCATTTTCCACTTGAGCTGTGCACCCAGCGTGCCAGCAGACGTGGGCATCTCTCGGAGTGGCTCCCCATGACAGAGAAACGGCCCTGCAGGTGAAAGGAGCCGCGGCTTCGCGCCGAGCTTGTTCCGGAATAACCCGTCTGCTCGCCCGGATGCCCTCCATCCGGAAGCCTCGTCTCACCACCCAGAAGCAATTCCAAACCCGAATGGGCGTCGGAGCCACCAGGCTCGGCCCCCACACTCCTTGCTCTGTCCCCCTGCATCCTCTCCTCAGACGATGCTCCGGACTCCTTTTCAGGAAGATCAGGCCAAGGAAGTTCTGTGGGGAGAGAACCTGCCAGAACACAGCTCCCTCTTAGCAAATTTCAGCCGTGCCATATGCTGTGGCCGGAGTGCAACCTTCCCATCAGCAGGGCTGGCCTGGGCCTCCCCGTGCAGGTGCGTTGGGGTGAGGGGGGCAGGTGGGAAAGCACTGGCGAGGCCTGGCTGACCAGCAGGCTGGGCTGGCTGCAGAGGGCCAGCTGGTTCTTTAGAACAGGAGGGAACTAGCTTGCTATCTGTCTCTGCAGCAGAATCATCCCCTCCCCCACCTCCCCTAGACTCACAAGCACTGGGGCTGCCCCGGGCTGGCCGGTCCCATCTGTTGGGGTGTGGAGAGGGTTCCAATGGCCTGACCTCCGAGGCCGTCCTATCTCCCTGCCTGGCTAACCACTGAGCCGTGGATGTGACACAGGGACTTTGATGGGCCCTGCTCCTTCCCTCCGGGTGTCAGTGTCAGCCGGTTTGCTACAATAGTTACTACAGCAATCGCCCGGCAGCCCAGGAGAGCGTGGGGAGACTGTGGTCCGGGGAGACAGGCACGGCCTCCGATGCCCACTGTGCTGATCTCGGCTGCCCCTTGTGTGTGTGGCCTGCAGGGGGCTTCCCAGCACCAGGTGCAGTAGCAGGCTTTTAAAGATGGCCAGGTGGCCTGGCCGGCGTGGCTCGGTGGTCGAGCATCAACCTATGAACCAGGAGGTCACGGTTTGATTCCCAATCAGGGCACTCACCAGAGTTTCGGGCTGGATTCCCAGTAGGGGGCGTGCAGGAGGCAGCCGATCCATGATTCTCATCATTGATGTTTCTCTCTCTCCCTCCCCCTCTGAAATCAATTAAAAAATATATGTAAAAAAATAAAGGTGTCCAATTGGGGGCAGACGGTCCAGGCAATTTGGCCTCCTTCTTGGGACCACCCATCCTCCTCCTGCCGTGCAGCCACTGGGAACAGGAGGAACAGGAGCCTGTGCTAGTCGCTTTGGGGTTACCCGCCCTCCCAGCTTTTTCCCTTTCCCAAACCTCGACCCCACGCTGCCCTCAGAAACAAGCAAAGCCAGCTGCACGGGAGGAGGAGCCCGGAGCCTGGAGGAAGCGGCACCCGTGGGCAGGCTGGCCATTCCTCTGCTGTCCTTGCGCCCAGCTGGCTCCCCCTGATGGCGGCACCGAGGGCACACGGGGAAGGTCAGGGGGTGGGTTCTCTCTCTGCCACCGCCAGCCTTGCCCGCCAGCCGCCCAGGGTCTGCGGCCCCTCCGGCCCCCCTCCCCCGTCCGGTGCAAACAGAGCCTGCGCGGGGGAGACCGGTACAGACAAACATTCTCTTTATTGAGCTACACATGGATTTTCCATTAGTCAGAGAAGTAGACTGGCAGTGTGTAAGATATCACAGAAACCTCACCGATTGGGAATAGAAAGGCTTAGAAAGACCGTGGGCTTTTTTTTTTTTTTCTTCCAAGTTTTTATTTTTTTCCTGTATTTTTTCATTTTTTGTGTGTGGTTCGTCGTTTTGCCGCCTTTTTTATCTGAAATGGCTGTGACTGGTTCTTCAGCAAGTGTCTTAAAAGTGAAACCGTGAAGAGGTTTGGGGTTGGAATGCGAGTCAGAGTAGAAATGACAGGACTGGTCATGGCAACTGGCTTTCGTGTCAACACTGACTCCGTCTTTGCCTTTGACGTGTGTGTGTGTGTGTGTGTGTGTGTGTGTGTGGTTTCCTTCCCATCTTGTGGCATTTAAAAAAAAAAGGTGGGGGATTTTTCATTGTTTTTATCTGTGGCACAAACATCCATCCTCACATGAGAAAGAGTGGACACAGGTCACCGAAACAGAGGACAAGGTGGAGGACACACACACGCACACGGGGAGCATCCATCTGAGACCGAGAAGCAAAAACGTCAAAGGAAAAAACCCGCAACCCTGACCCCCAAAGACGAGGGCAGCTGCTGGGGTGTTGTGGGTACACAGGGCTCACCAGGACAAAAAGGAAAAGGAAACAACTGGAAAATGGTGATGAAGGGTGTCTGTCCGAAGGGGACATAGTGAACAGAATAAATGGGCGGGGACACTGTTTTCGATGGGGCTCTTTATGCATGTGATCCGATTCTGTGGGGCAGCTACGGGCCAGTGAGAGCTGTGCTTTTTCTATACAAACCTGGGGTGAGCGTGTAGCTGGAGTGGTTGGGGGCGTGCGTGTGTGCGTGCGTGTGTGTGGTGGGGGTGTGTGCATGCGTGCGTGTGTGTGTGTGTGTGTGTGTGTGTGTGTGGTGGGGGTGTGTGGGTGGTGTGGGGTGCAAAGCGCAGCCCGGTCTGAGCACATTCTGGAAACCTGGTGCGGACAGAGAGGCCTGGCACCTCTGCCCCCACACCTGCTGCCAGGTGAGATGGGAGAGGGGGGAGTGCCGATGTATGTTTCTTATTCCAAAAGAAGAGAGAAAGAGAGAAAGAAATATGGATGTAATGGTGAGTTTTCCATTTTCCTTTTAAGCTACAAAGCACATGAGAAATGTTCTTTTTTTTTTTTCCTTTCAAATTCTAAATGTAGAGACTCAACTAAAACCGGGTTTCTACAGCATTCTACAGAAATACACAGCCGTCAGTCACTCTGGGGTCGTGGGTTAGACAGGGGCTTGATACAGAAAGGCTGTGTGTCTTACAAAGGCCAAAAGGTCATGCTACCAGGAGATCAAGGTCAACAGCAGAGAGTCCGTGAAGCAGTCTGTAGAGAGAGAGATAAGGGGGTCCAGTCGGGCCAGTTTCTTTGCTTTTAAAAACCAACAAACCAACCAACCAACAAACCCTGGCACACTCATTGCTCCTGTGTCGGAGGCGGGCAAGATGGGGAGGCATCGAAGGAAGAGGAGAAGGAATCCCAGGAAGCCCGGCCCAGGCCCCTAGAGGCCTCCTCTGTGGTCAGGTCGGCCATCCAGCCCCTCCCTGTGGCCCCTCCGGCCCCCGTCTCCCCCTCGCCCCCGTCTCCTAGCGCCTGGCATGTCCCTCCCCGCAGCTGCTCTGGCCCTTGCCTGCTTGGCTTGAAGAAAGAGACCAGGGGTCATGGGGGTGGTCAGAGCAATGATTCTTCTAAGTCCCTTTCCTGTTTTGGGGGGCGTAGGGCAGTGGGATGGCCAGGGCACTGGCCATTTTGTAAAGGGTTTGGGGCTTTGCAGAGAGCCGGGCAGAACTGAGAGCTCAGGGGGTAGAAGCAGAAACCGGCCGGCCCGAGGCCAGGCCACTTGGCCTCCCGCTGCTCGCAGACAGGGGTCTCAGTTGGTGAATCTACAGGGCTGGTCTCCCAAGTCAGGGCTCCATCACGGCTCGTGTGTGTGTGTGTGTGTGTGTGTGTGTGTGTGTGTGTACACGCACATGCGTGCACAGGCACACACCTGCATGCTCATGGGCTGACCCTATGGGGTGGTGGTCAGTTCTGTCTGAAGCTCTTTCTAGTACAAACTAAAAAGAATTAATATATATTTGTATATATATATATTTATATATATAAGATTTTGTTACGCCTTTTTTTTTTTAAGTTTATTTACCAACTTGCATTTGTCAGTGGGTGGTGGGTGGTGGGTGGTGGGAGGGGTGTGTGTGTGTGTGTGTGTGTGTGTGTGTGTGTGTGCGCGAGCTTTTCTGAGTGCTGGAATCATTACCAAGTAGGTTGCTATACAGGACAAGAGGTCAGTACAAGCCGCAGCCCCGAAGGTTGTTGGCAATGATGATGTCGGTGACGGCGTCGAATACCACCTGGATGTTATTCGTGTCTGTGGCACAAGTCATGTGACAATAGATTTCTTTGTTGGGGGAGCGGTTTTTGCTTTCGAATTGTGCTTGGATGTAGGCGGCTGCGTCTTCGTAGGTATTGGGGCCTGTAGCAAGACAGAACAGGGAGAGGCCCCGGTGAGAGCCGGCAGGGACCGGGTGGGGACCCCCGGGCCACAGGCGGGCTGGGGCATGTCCCAGGAAGCAGGGCCCAGGAGAGGAGGCTACAGGCAGACACGCCCTCTCCAAAGGCGTCCTTGTATTTCACAGCCAAACCCACGTGCGGCTCTGCATTCGCCTGGCTTCGGGCTTTTCCAGGCGTCTCACCGTTTCCACCCTGGGCGGACCCAGGAGCCCTGGGCGGACAATGGCCACAGAAGGTCCCTTTGCTTTCTGGAGGAGCACCCTGAGGCCCCGCCCCGGTCTGCCCTTCACAGCACTCACCCCTGGTCTAAACCAGTCCTGCTCGCCTGGCCAGCATGGCTCAGTGGTTGAGCATTGACCTGTGACCAGGAGGTCACGGTTTGGTACCTGATCAGGGCACATGCCTGGGTTGTGGGCTCGATCCCCAGTAGGGGATGTGCAGGAGGCAGCCGATCCAGGATTCTCTCTCATCAGTGATGTTTCCACCTCCCTCTCCCTTCCTCTCTGAAATCAATAAAAAATGTATTTTAAAAAAGAAATAAAAAGAAACCAGCCCTGCTGCTCTGATAAACCAAGGCAGTGGCCTCTGAGGGGGGCCCTGGCAGGTGGGGATCCAGGACTCCTGGTGTCACAGGGGGCCCCGGGGGCCGAGCTGGACCTGCCCGTCTCCCTGCACTGGGCAGGACTGGGGAGCCCCCACACAGTCCTAGTTCTTGGGTGAGTGGCCAGCCTTACGGGCGCTGGTATCCCCTGGGTGGGTAGTTTAAGGTCCTAGTAGCGTAAGACCGGCTGGGCCCTGCTGCCCCACTGCCCCACCCCTGCTCCTCGCTGTCCCCTTGATCCTGGCTGGGGCCAGGTGGGGATGTCTGTGGAGGATGCAAAGACAGTTCTGTTTAATCAAACAGATTAAACCCACGTGGCTCTGCCCTGTGGACAGCTTTCAATCACCATAAAATACAGAGCAACACAGAATTTCCTAAGCGCCAGCAAAGGAAGAGGCCTCAGTGCCCCTGGGACCTGGGTGCTCGGAACCAATGCCATCCGGTGCTGAGGGCGGGGGCCACACCTCCCCGGCCCCACCCCCAGCCCCCGTCCTTCGTTCCCATCCTCTGAGTAACCCACGGCCAGTGGGACGCAGACCAGGCCCCGGGCTCTGTGCTCTCCGCTCCCCCCGGAGGCCCCCCGCCCCCCGGGCACTACTGCTGTTACCGTGGTGCCCAGATGAGGAACGGGACCAGGGGCTTTGCCTGCCCAAAGTTGCAGGTGGTCAGGTGGTCTGGCTCCAGAGGCTGCTTCTGTGCCCCTGCCGGCCAGAGGCACGCTCTTGGCCATTGCCCGACCCCAGCCTGCCGCCACCCCGGCTGCCACCCCCGCTCTTAGCACCCTGGGGTGGGCGGGAGCCTTGTTGACTGCCAAGCAGTAGAACACCAGTGACCAACGGGCTGTGCTCAGAACACCCGATGGGCCTTTCTGCACACCGAGGGTGAGCACCATCACTTCCAGGCGGCAGAGAAGGGTGGGTGGTGGTGGGGGGACAGTGGAGTCCTGGGAGCCCAGCCCATGCATGCCCTCCCCTCTCTCGGGGCTGCCTGTGAGGGGGTCCTGGCTGAGCCAACCTGGGGGGTGCAAAAGGGGCCCCCAGGAGCTTCCCCGTCCAGGGGGACGAAGGCTGGGCTTTGCACTGGCCCCTCGCTGTGGACCGGGGCCCGTAGCCCACAGCAGCTGCCTCCCTCGGCGGGCAGCCCAATGCCTCATCAACCGGCTGCAAGAGCTCCGTGTGGCGTCTGGGATACATCCCCCTGGGAGCCAGGTGGGAGGACAAAGCCCCAGAGGAGGTGGGGGAGAGGCAGGCAGGGAAGGAGGAGGCTTGCAGGGAAGGAGGAAGAGGAGGAAGAGGAGGAGGAGGAGGGAGGGGAGGAGGAGGAGGAGGAGGAGGAGGGTCTGGTTTGGGAAAAAGAAGGAACGTGGAGGAAGAGGGGGAAAGCAGGCCTGACGGTGCAGGGGGTGAAAGAGCTGGCGGGACACGGGCCAGTCTCTGATGGTAGAGAAAACAGGTGTGGCCACGCACAGCCCACGTGGCTGCCGGTCCTAATCCGGGCGCAGGTGCTGTGAGGCCAGCAGCCGCCTGGGGAGGTTAAGGGGCGGCCGCTGGGGAGACGAGCGAGATGGGGGTGAGCAGGGTTCAAGGGGAAGCCACCGCCCTGCCTTGCTTGGTTGCTCCTGACTCACCTGGTCACAAAGCATATGGATCAGGAGGCCCATCTCCCCCCACACCCAGGGCCGTGTCCCGGGAAGGGCCACGCCTGGCCACACCCCGGCGTTTCCCTCTGCGCCTGTTCCCAGAGCCAGGGCTCCGGCCTGTGCAGGGGGAGCCCACTCCTGGGAGGGTGGGGCTGCCTCCCGCACAGGGCCCCGGGACACCCACCTGTGTACTCAGGAAAGCAGATGGTCAGAGGTGACTTCTTGATCTTCTCCCCAAAGAGATCTTTCTTGTTGAGGAAGAGGATGATGGAGGTATCGATGAAGAACTTGTTGTTACAGATGGAGTCGAAGAGCATGAGAGACTCGTGCATGCGGTTCTGCGGCCGCAGGCGGGGGGAGGGGTGGAGAGAGCGGGACAGACAGCGAGGGGGAGACACGGAGACAGGGAGACAGGGAGAGAGAAGAAGCGTTAGGTTTGAGAGAGAGGAGCTGGGCTACTCAGCCGCTCAGGAGGGGCTCCCAGGCCCGGGGGAGGCGGACAGACAGAACAGTGATCTGCTACACAGCACGGGGCTGCCCACGTCCAGCGCCCAGACCCCTCTACGCCCCTCGTCTCAGGGCCAATGGCAGACAGCGACCCGACATGGCTCCCTGGGGGAGGCTGAAGACCCGGTGACCTGGGCTCTCCCCCTGCGAAGTCCCCAGCCACAGGAGTGTCTCCCTGAATGCGTGTGTATGCATGTGTGTGTATGTGCGTGTGTGTGTATGTGCGTGCATGTGCATGTGCTGGGGTTGCTGGTGATTGGATGGGAGCCCAGAGCTGGGCTTTGGCCCTTCCTGTCCAGACCTGCCCTCTTTAGCCCAATCTGTGGGTGGGGTGTCCTCTGTGAGGGGTGAGGGACTGTGCAGGGAAGGTACATGTGGGGTCAGCCGTGCAGGGGAGAGGGAGCTGCCAGGCTGGCTGCAGGGGAGCCGGGCGACGGGCCTCGCCTCTTCGTACACAGTCCGTTCAGCGAATGAGTGCGCGTGCGGGGCCCCAGACAGAGCAGAGCCTCCAGGGACAGTCCCTGCCTGGGCCCAGGGAGGCCAGCTTGGGTGGTGGGGTGGATGCCAGGAGTACACTCGGGTGCCGGGGTAGGTAGGGGGGAGGGGCCTCTTGGCAGTGTGGGAGCCCATCTCTCTGTGCAGGAAGGTGGCTTCCTGGTGACGGGCCGCCCTGGGGGAAGGCATAACTGCCCTCACACCCAGCCCCCCGGGCCTGCAGCCGGGCCCAGAGCGACCCCGGGGTACCGTCTCCCTCTGACGTCAGGAGACGGAACCACACCGGGGCAAGAGCAGAGAGCAGTGTGGGTGCCGCTGGGTCTTATTCTCAGGATGGGAGGGCGGAGCGGGGCAGGAGGCAGCCATAGGAGCTGAGGAAGCTGCCTGTTCTGTCGCCATGGCAACGTCCCCTATCTGAGCAGGGGGAGGAGGGGGAAGGTGGGGACGCATCCTCCACAGTCATTGCACCCCACTCTGCACCCAGCACTTCCCCTGCCTCGTGCCGGTTAATCTCACCAACCCTTAGGGGCACGGGAGTGACACGGGGGGTGGGGGGGTGGGCAGCGCCAGAGCTGGGCGGTGTCCGGGCCTCTCCAGGCACTCGGAGTGGTCTGTGGCCTTCAGAGGAGGAAACAATGAGGTCACGATGGCCCCAGACTGCCTCTCACACCTGTGACCGCAAAGGTACCGGCCCCAGACCCTCGTTCTGTGGCCGAGGCTGGGGCGGGGGGGGGGGGGGGGGGGGCCCTCAGCGTGCATCCCTGCTGCTTCTCAGGAGCCACCAGACAGCTGTGGTTACTCCTCCCTCAGCGATTTGCTGCCAAGGCCGCTGTCCCTTCCCTCTGCCGAGCAGATTCAGCAAACCCACCCACGTGACCTATCACCCTCCGAGCCTCGACCAGGCGCCTTCCTTCTCGGTGCCCCCGCAGTCCTGTTCAGGGAGGAGTGAGACTCAGTGCCCAGGCACCGCAGGGCCCGTCCGGAAAGGGGAGGAGGTCTCCCCGAGGGCCACGAGCAGGGCCTGGGGCTGAGCGCGCTCAGCTCGCCGGGCACCGAGGAGGGCAGAGTCGAGATGCTCCAACACCCACAGACTCTAGAAAAAGCCCCCCCAACAGAGCCGCTGGTCCACAGCCACTCCACCCAGCGCCCACCAGTGCACGCCCAGTCCCAGCACTGCTTTGTCCACAGACACCGAGGGTCACAGTGGGGACATATGCCCAGGCCTCCCACCACCAGAGGGACCACCAAGGCGAGGAGCTGAGAGCCGGGGGGCGGGGTGTGTGTGTGTGTGTGTGTGGGGGGGGTTGGCTGGGCTGAGCTTAGGTCTGGAGGAAAAGCCCAGGCCAAGCGCTAAGGATCCAGCTGGCACAGCGCCCCCTCCCCATCCCCCGCCCCTTACAGGCCAGGCGTGCGGGCTGCAGGCTCCTGCTCTCCCAGAGCCCACAGTCTAATGGGGAGAGGCAACGCCACACACCACAAAGGTCTGCGGGGCCCGGGAGGAGCGGGGAGGCAGAGGGCACGGCGCACAGTCAGACCCCGATTCTCCAGGAGGCAGAGGGCACGGCACACAGTCAGACCCCGATTCTCCAGGAGGCAGAGGGCAGGGCACACAGTCAGACCCCGATTCTCCAGAGGCAGAGGGCACGGCGCACAGTCAGACCCCGATTCTCCAG